AGGTAGGCCATCCTGTTTTGGCCCGATTGCCGTCTTCGAGAGAACAGCCCAAATGTCGTACCCGGTTCTGTCGAGGACGGGCCTCGCCCTTCGAGGCACCCGGCTAGGACAGCCAGTCACACTGGGCCTGTCAGGGTGAGTCTCGCGAGCTTTCGCAAGGTTGTGACTGTCTCGTCGTCTGTACAGGGAACGGCCTTCCGGAGCCACAGGCAGTCGTCAGCGGATCGGGGACGTGCTGCTCAGGAACATGCGTCAGCTGAAGGTACCGACCGCGGCGTGCGTGTGGTGGCTCCGGGCGCAGGAGTACCTGTGGGACCGTTCCCGGGGAGGGCGTCCCCTCGCGCCTCCATCAGGCCATGGTGGCCTGGAGCAGCTGGTGCTGTGGAAGCCTCGGGGGGAGGCCTCAGCGTCCCCTCCCTCTGACAGCAGATCACTCACCTGCCTCGCCCCCCCTCCGCCGTGCTGAGGCAGAGCTGGAGCCGGGCTGGTGTCGTCCCACCAGGAGCTCACCGCTATGTCGCACGAGGCGAGACCCGGCCCTCTCGGCCTCGGTTCTGGTTCTTCACCTGTAAGGTGGAGGTGGAGCCCCTGATGCAGCCGAGGGTGGCCGTGACAGCGTGCACAGCCCCGCCCTCCTGTCTGAACCAGGGCTGGGCCGCTTGCCTGCTGGACGCCCACACGGCAGATGCCGCCCAGATAGGCCGGCTGCTCGGCCCCCTCCCCTGTCACCTAACCTAAAGGGTCTGTGTCGTGCCCCAATAGCAGTTCACTGGCCACTTCCAAAGGCACGACGAGGTCCTGATGGAGCTGGAAAAGGCAGCCAAGCGCGTTAAGAAGCTGGAGGCGGTGTACAAAGAGTTCGAGCTCCAGAAAGTCTGCTACTTGCCTCTCAGCTCCTTCTTACTGAAGCCCACCCAGCGACTGCTGCATTACCGCCGGCTGCTGGGCCGGCTGTGTGGGCACTACGCGCCCGGGCACCCGGACTTCGCCGACTGCCGTGGTGAGTGAGGGCCTGGCGCAGGGGCTGCGGGCTCCACCCCAGAAAGGCCGAGCGCTGCCCCCCCACCCCGCGATGGAGGGGAGCCGGCCAGTATTGTTCTTCAGCC